AAATGCATAATATTGAGCAAAAAGGTGAGAAAATCACATTTTTATCAAAAAATACATCTGGGTAATATTCAATAAGATTATCAAAGCATAAATACAGTAAATCACTTCTATTTTTTATCAACACTTGAATATAGGTAGGTTTCATAAAAATGCATAATATTGAGCAAAAAGGTGAGAAAATCACATTTTTATCAAAAAATACATCTGGGTAATATTCAATAAGATTATCAAAGCATAAATACAGTAAATCACTTCTATCAACACCTCCAAAGCTTGCACAGACATATACCACTTCCTGGATCAACATTTTACTCCGTAACATTATGCAGTTTTCATTTATATGCTGCCATTGCTGATGATCGCATTATTTTTCATATGCATCTGTTTACATAAGAGATCGCTCGTTTCTCCGTCCTGTACACGTGTTTTTGTCCGGGAGGTTTTGTACTCGTTCAGAAGATGTGTAATAACGCCCCCTAGTGTATAACAGTGAAAACACGAAAAGCTGTAAAAACTCGTCTTTGGCGGGGAAGCGTTGTCTTCTAAAAGACGAGATAACTCGTCAATAGCGAGGAAAGAGTTAACCTTATTCTAATGTTAATGCATTTGGAGTATTCTAAATGAGTGACCACATACCCATAGATTAGTAATTTGAATAAAACATGTCCAAACTAGGGCTGAACGATTGCGATAATATCGCGATATGAACAAACGCGATTTTTCAATCGCAGAGGCTGATTGAGTGTCACGTGACACGCGAGAGTAAAGAGGTGTGTTCGACTTGAAAATCGATCGTGTATGACATCAAAGTACTGCGAGAAAAAGCATGAGGAGACGTCCGCTCTCTTATAGCTCTCGCAGTACTGTCTAAGCAGCGCTGCTTCAAGTCGAACACATCTAAGCAGTCTTCAGAGGAAGCATCAAGTTGGCACGCTACAGTGTTGCCAAGTCCGCGATTTGGGGAACCCCTCCAAAAAACGTGTATTTTACTCCCTGGAATACGATTTTTACCGGTGGAACCCCCCTCGAAACGCGATTGGGCTAGTTTTGAGTAGCAATTGGGCGGGTTTTGTTGTGGCAACCCTGGCACACTAACGTTACACGCGGAAATATTTGAAAGTGTATATAATGAACGTACTTCAAACGTACTCCATCAGCAGAAAAAGAAAATAAATAAAACAGTAAACAGCCATTGGACGTAACTTAGAATGGGAGATGGATCGGTTTGTGAAAGGGAAGAGAAAAGCCGTAGATGAAGTTGCACAGACTCAGGCAGGTGCTGGTCATTCAAAAGCTAAATGCAGAAAATATGACGAGGCATATCTTGCTCTCGACTTCACTCCTTTGATGACACACCCATCGGTCTAAGCAGCGCTGCTTCAAGTCGAGCGTCGGCCATCAGCAGAAAAAGAAAATAAATAAAACAGTAAACAGCCAAAGGACGTAACTTAGAATGAGAGATGGATCGGTTTGTGAAAGCGAAGAGAAAAGCCATAGATGAAGTCGAACAGACCCAGGCAGGTGCTGGTCATTCAAAAGCTAAATGCAGAAAATATGACGAGGCATATCTTGCTCTCGACTTCACTCACCGTGTCTATACCGGACGCTAGAGTTGTCGCGCCGCGCCGCAACAGCTCTACTGTACACTGGACAGTGACCATTGCAAATCATTTTAAATTTGTGTCAGTACGTCATAAACAGAACAAGGCATCAGTTTAATGTCGGGTTTTGTCGTGTCGTGTCGCGCCGCATCCAGTGTAGACAGCGTCACTGATTATAATGGGTTTGGGTTCTACTACTGTATTTTGCCGCTCGCATCCGGTGTAGACACGGTGTTTAATGTCGTTGCTGAGGAAAGCCTGTGTGTGTCCTATGCCTTAGCGGACAGCATGAAACCCACAAAAAATAAATAAATAAATAACAGAGAGAATAATAAAAATGGGCAGATTTTTTTATAGGTTTAAAGGGAGGCGCGACCAAAAAAGTTTGAGATCCACTGGTCTAAAGTTAACAGACAGTGAGTGTTTAAAACGTTTATGTTTAATCTATCTAATATTGTGTTGGTCATACTATACAATGATTTATAGCTTGTCTTTGTTGAATAATACAGAACATAACGAGCTTAAAAAAATAATTGCATATTAAATCGCAATCGCAATATTGGTAAAAAAAATCGCAATTAGATTATTTTCCAAAATCGTTTAAGCCCTAGTCCAAACCATCTCCACATCCTATGTTTCAGCATTATGACACTCTCTAAATATGTGCGCCATCCTGAGAGCACACACTGCAAGATCCTTGAGCATGTATAAAATGTAATCTTAACATGATTATAAGGCCATCCAATATATGTGATTTTGGCATACGTTTGGTTTCAGTTGTTCCTACAATATTAGTAGATTTAGAATACATTTTAGTACTTTACTGATGAAACATGGTCTGTTTGTAAAAATGTTTGTACTTGATTTCACACATAAATTTAAGCGTATGCACGACTAGTGAATGAGACCCTCTGTTCTAGAACAAATAGCAGTAGATTACAGTTATTTGGCTTGTAACAATAGCAAATCAATAGCCGCTGAAGAAGCCAGCTGTGAAAGTAGAGATGTAAAGAACCTAAAACCCAAACCCAAAACTATTTCAGTCACAAGGGATTTATATGTGGTTATGTTAGATATGGTTCTAAATTTCTGTAATTAAATTAGATAGGTTCATTTTATGTTCTTTAAAGTGTAGTGTTCTTGAACTATTGAGTTCTGTGACTGTCTCTCTGTAGAGCATTATACAGAATCAATAAAGGCAGTTTATCAAACCGTCAATCACTCACACTGCCACTCAATCACTCAATACATCAGCACCTGCTAAAAGAGCATATGTGTTCAGTTCTCTGAACATCTGCTGTTCTTGTAGGAAATCTGACTGCAATGGATCACAGGCATTGTCAGGGCCAGGATGCTTTGAAAGCATCCTGTTCTCTCTCTCTCTCTCTCTCTCTCTCTCTAGTAATCTGGTCTAGTCTTGCTATCTACAATAGGGTGTATTTTTCTTTCAATATTTACGCATTATGTGTGTATGTGTGTGTGTGTGTGTGTGTGTGTGTGTGTGTTTGCCATAGTGAAAGCAACACTTTTTACCTCCGTAATGTGTTATAATTATATGAAATTGAAACTGGATATTACTGGATATGAAAACAAAAATGTTACGTGTTAAACAAAATGTTAAATTTTGGAATTGATTGGATCATGATAAGAGATTGAACAAAATGGGTTGAACAAGTTATAAGCATACATGAAAAAAAAAAAGATCAATGACTGAACAGACAAACACTTCTTTACTTTAGAATAAACTGCACTGATGAATTGTTCACAATAAGGCAAGGAATTTACAAGGATATTTAGCAGAGGCGGATAGGAAAGGCAAAACATCCTTTGTAAGAGCTCACTTCACTTTTGGCACAGAGGTGGCTGAGGATTTCACTGAACTGGTTACAAACGGTGGACAATCAAAACCACACTGAGGGGACACTCTCCATCCTGTGATCTCAGAGCAAAAATATTGACTTAATAAGAGGCATTTGAGTGTCGCAGTGAACATGTTCACAGCCCTCTGGGACTGAATAAAGAATTGTAGAGTAGATCTCCCACATACAGGCACTAAACAGTGTGCAGTCATAAAATGCTTTCAACCTTTGTCACTTCCAGCAGTCCAAAGCGATAAAAGCTCTGAAACATAACTTCAATTATTAGGTCAAGTATAAGATCTTCATTCTCAAACATTTTGCTTTTTATTGCATATTTCAGATGCCCTTTTAAAGCTGAGGTTTCAAAATCTGATAAGACGTTCTGATAGGACACCAATGACAGCACTTTTGCACTGCCATCACTATTATACAAAAATAAATAAATAAATACCTTCACAAAATATGTGTTTTTTATATGTATTATCATTCTCCATGTATACAGTGCATTTCTTTCTTAAAATGACTCATTACTAAAAAAACTACTTCTTCTGGGTCTATTTGCAAACAGAGTTTCTGAAAACATTCAGGTGCTTTTATTCAAGTGTTTCCATAGAGAAAACAGTTAATATATTTTGTTGATATAGTTGTATATGAATTTGGGATGACTTATGAATGTATTTACTGTAATTTTGTTATAGATTTGAGATATATATGTGTATTTGTTTAAAAGATCTTCGTGATACTAGGGGTATTACGGTAATACATGTTTTAATGAGCGCAGGTGTTGCTTGGTAGCACATGGCGCTGAGGAAGGGTTAATACCCGAAAACGTTCTGCACTTGCACTTTTGCACTTCTTTCTACATATTTTTGTGACCTCTGAACAATAAATGGAATAAGCTTTTTTAGCTGCATTTGGAGGAGTGCGGATGTCTTTCATCTTTGTATCTTTGTATATTTTGGATCTACGCACCATATGTTTTTGTCTACTGGATTTTTGGACGAGTGTTTGGCGCTACTGCCTTTTTTGTGCTTAGAGAAAATGTCAGGAACGTCACAATTCAGATTCAAACTCACACAATGCATGTGACACCAGAATTCAATATGCCAAGGCACAAGAAATTTGAATGTCTCTTCACCAGATGTCTTTACTGCACAAAACAATATTAAAAATGCCACCCTGTCATCGACCTTCCTGGTGACTCAGTAAAGCTGTAATCAATTAAATATGTAATTAATTCAAATAGAATTAGGAAAGGATATTGTACAGTTAGCTGACAGGGTGATCTGGTTATGTATCATCCTGATGTGGTCCATTCTGCAACAGTGACCGGCTGACTGTACATTATCCCTCTAATTACACATCTGTTTATCTTATAAACAAATACATTGCCATAAAATTCTGGTTTAAGTTCAAAGAAATTAGACAAAAGTGTCCATGAGACATGAAACACAATGGCCAAAGGTCCTCATTGAGCCTTTTTAAAAGTTCTCTGTAGGATTTGATATTACATGTGCTGCAATTGACAGCTTCAACTCACCTTAAAGAAGGTCATCGTAGCGCCATCCTCCACCACTCCATACTCAATCTTGGTCTGCTTGGCCAGGTCATCAGCCGAGTCAATTGGAGATTCCATTCTCTCCACGGTAAGGAAGGCGGCTAGGTTGGCCGTGTAGGAGGAGATGATGATTAAGGTAAAAAACCACCAGATGCCTCCTACTATCCTGGTGGAAAGGGCTTTGGGCATGAGCTCAGATCCTAGCAGAGAGGAGCAGAGATAGTAGTCAGGGAAAAGCAGTGGTCTCAATGTGAGGACCAGCAGCAGATGCACAGGCCCAACCTAGTCCGGACACAACAACTAGTTGCAGGGAAAGGCTTTGCCTGCTGACAACTGGGAAAACACAGCTATGCTAACCGAATACGCCAAAGTCAACCACAGTGAATGTGGGAATTCATTCATATTTTAGGAGAATTTATGTGGTCAAATTGAATTAGATTACAGACTCTCAGATTTGTGTTAAATCATAAAGGGCTCATGATTTGCTTCCGTCTTTGAACTGCCCTACACTCTTCAGTCCATTTGGCTTGTGGGTAAAAGCCAGAATGAAGAACCATTTTGTGTCACAATCTACATATAATTTTCTGTTATTCCTTAATCAAGTTGTCACCATGGCCATGCAGAGGAAATTAATTGATGGGGAAAAGTCTGGAAAATAACTATTTTTCCTAGGAGGAGATGTCAGAGGACAAGAGCGCAGGGAAATAACTGGCTCCTCTTCTCAAGTTCTATGAGTCAGCTGTAAGCTTTGATCTGGCACATTGAGTCCATGGCAAAACACAATGGACTGTTGAAAAGATTAGCCGTTACATGAATTACAATTGAACTGCAATCGTGAGTTCCAGTCAGGCCTGTCCTGTCAATCAAGTCTAAAGTTTGGATATATAACTCTAGCTGCCAGACAGCCCGAAAAAACACAGAAACGGGAAGAAAGAGAGAATTACTCTTCCCTTATATACTCTAGCAATTAAGTTGTTAAAAGTGATGTGTATATTTTCTTTGGTGCTAAAAGACATTCTCCTTTCCCATCAGAGACAACTTTAAGTGCAAACACTGTGGTGCTTAAGTATTCAGACATATGGCTCAATCAGTGGTGTGAGTTTTGGACAGGAATGCCTGTTTATCCAAACAAGTATTCAGGCACAGGGTAGACGGGGCAGGAGGAGTGTGTGAGAATCTAGAATCGCATATATTACACACTTCACCTTTAAACATGACTTAGCATAACCAATAGCGGAAAAGCAAAAATACCATTATGTCAAAACAATGTATATATATATATATATATATATATATATATATATAAGAAAACCACCTGAAATGGTGGTTATGGAAAAGGTTTGCATGCAATTAAACAATCCCCTGATCCTCTACCCAACACCAAAAAAAACAAAAAAAACGAAAAGTCTCACACAGTCCCATTCATACCATTGGCCAGCAACCAATTTGCTTCTAGAACTACATGCACAGAGGCACCCATGCATCATAGTGGGCCTGACAAGAGCAAGTTGGGACCCCCATCAAAAGAGTGGGATGTGTGCTAAGGGGGGCAGGCAGAGGCGTCTACCTTGCTGCATGAGAGCTCCAACTCCGAACCAGAAACTATTTAGCAGGGTGAAATTGTTTTCCACCACGTCCGAGTCAGGGTTGCACGGGTGGGGGTTATACCATTCGTAGGGGCTAAACCTGTGGCAAGCAACACAGAACACACATATACATTTTAGTCCAAATTATGGCAAATAAAAGAAAAACATTGAAGGAAAGGCAGGTCAACCTATAGAGAAACAAGGAGAAAGAGACAGGTTAGCATAAGATTAAGGAAAAATACTGTTCTCTCTATCTCATTTTACAAATGGTTAAAATCGTTGTTTTTTTTTTCCTTTTTTTCTTTCCCTCAATATAAAAAAAATATGTAAGTTAGTCTTGTGATAGGGTACATGTTAGAGCTGTTTATGTTCATTCCATTCAGCCTTTTTAAATTCCAGAAACTCTTAAATAGAATATTCATATCAAAGGCAACCATAATTATCAATGCATAATTATTTTTTTTTCTGCTGCACAATCCTCCACGTTAGTAACAATGAAGCTATTGTACATCAGTTTACCATTTATAAATAATAATAGTTTATAATTTATCTATTGTTACCATTGTAGATTTTTTTTTGTCTTTTTAATGTATATATACATGTTTCTATATGTACGTATATTAATCACTGTACCTCATATTCTGGCATTAAAAAAATGCAGGTGCGTTCAGTAATTTGTTTGAACTTGGTGTGAGTCACACTTAGTTTTTATTAGTGAAAATTATTTTGTTGTAATTGACAGCCATGCTGTCAAAATAACTTAACTAGTAGTTAACCCAGAATATTCATTTAAAAATGATTAATTCAGATGCCCAATGCAGAATAGCTAGTCTATTCCATCATCTCCACACCCCGATCTCTCGTTCTGTGCTATCTCTCTCCTACATTGAGATTTTCCATTTACTCCAGCTAAATATAAGTGACATTACATTAGTAAAGGTTGATTGGGCGACAATTAAGCATTGTGACCCAATTCTGTTTGTGCTGAAGTATTGGAATAAAAAAGCATCCACAGGCTTTTCAAGAGTTAAGCAATCAGATACCAAGGAGATTTTTTTTTGTCTCAGCTATTTTTTATTCTCTGTCAGATCTCTGAAATAGAAACATAAATGATTGACTTTCAGAGACTAACAGTGGCATACACAACATTTCCTGCATATGAGTCTATGAGCAAGATTCATCAAGTGCTGGTGCAATCAGTTTTTCTATTTAAAATGACTGCTGTGCTCTTTAAATAGCTCAACTTCTGTATAATAAAAAAAACAGTCAACACAACATTGAGTTCTGCTCAAAAACCTGGTTAACGGAACATGCCAAAATATAAGTATATACATACATACCTGTATGAATACCTTAACATTTTAGGACATGAAGTTAAGAGGTTAAGATGCTTCCTTAGAAGCTAACTTCCTATTTAGGCTGTAGACAGCAAGGCAGCTCACTAGAATAGAGCCATAGGACAATAATCTTTGAGCTTGAAAAGTTAGATCTGTTCGCTCGTTTGCTATTTGTGATGCAAGTCTGAGTACATGCAAACTATAATCTTGCAAAGATGCAAGGGTCATGCCCCAGACATTTCATGCTAAGGGTCTTTGTGCAAGTTCACACAATCATGTTCTGTAAAGCCAATTACTAACGGCAAATCTAACATGGATGGCTGTCATTGAGTGGAACGTTCCAGCGGAGGAGAGAGGCGATGAACAGACTCTGTCTGCATGAGACGCGGCTTAACCTGCTGCTACGGGAAGCGTCAGTCGCCCGTTAGCTGTCAGTTTGATCCAATTATACTGACCTTCTGTTATCTCTGGTCATCTGCGCCGCAGAGGGACAATTTTGTGCAAGGTCAACATGAAGAGATAAACGGAGGCTGAGGAAATATTGATGCCTCGGGTAAGAACAAAGGTGGCGTTTTTTCCAGAAAGCCATTGTTCACAGGATTGATAACGCACCTGATAACAGTCATGTCAGATCAGGAAGACTGACATATTTAAATAACACAGCTGTGTAGATGAGTTTAGCATCAAGAACATGGGCTGAGGTCATGTTCTTGAGCTAACATACAGTTCAATAAGGATGCATTTGAAATACCATAGATTTCAAAGACTGACTGCTTGTTCAGCATAGTCTTACTGGGTTTTCGGTCTTAAGAGATGTCTAACTTCCCTGTAGTATTCCAGTGCTAAGCATGACTTCTATTGAATTTGAATGTTCCCTAACCTAAAATGGAAACATCTGATTTAACTGATTTTATTCAAGTTAAAAAAAAAAAAATTAACATCACCATGGGTCGCGGAATCGGGGGGGCCGCCCGGTAAAAAACAAAACAAACATAGGCTATAGGCTCATATGTATGCACGTTTAATCATTAAAATATCGCGATCTCGATTAAAACACACGCGATCGTATTCCTAAATGACGGTGATTCCGCTATGTCTATCAAACCTTTGAAAACAACGGAATATTTAAACCTGCTTTCGCGCAGCTGCTGATCCAGATAGAGCAGCGCAGCCAGCGCTCATCATGTAGCCTAAGCTTTATGTTTCAAACAGTCTACGCAAACAGTCTACTTACACAGTAGGCTACATTTCTATGTTGCAAACATTAAATTGTATATAGTGAAAGTATTTGGAGAAAAGTTTTTAATCCGGATATAGTCTGATGTTGCGGCAGCCTCGATCAAAACGAGTAATTAACCTTTTGAACTAATGATAATAGATTGTATATGTTACATTATGCCAGTAGGTGTCAAACAGTGACTGTTAAATGTATTTGATGTCTGAATCATTCAAGAGATTCATTCAAAAACTCTGGAATAAACAAGTCTTCATTTGTTTTGTTTTTTTCAAATGATTTTTTAGCTACATAATGAATTCATTTAAATTAATACATATTTTTAAATACACTAATTTATAACATTTTAGACATTTATAAATAGACTAATTTATAACATTAAATAAAACGTTCTGTCAGAAACTCAAATTACATATTTTGTTTGGTTGTCTCTAATGTTTGTTCTCAGAATCGTGGGAGAATCATAGCATAAAAATACATAGGCTAACATATCAGACATCTAACTAATACCATTAGTACTGTTTATAGCCTATTATGTTACATGTTCCGTTTACGAACTATGTATGTATTATGCAGTTCTGCAACCAAGAGTTACTATGTATGTTTACGAACTATGTATGTATTATGTAGTTCTGCCATTCTGATCCATGAACATCACTGAATTAACCTAAATACATGAATTTTACCACCAAAACTCATTTATATGGGTTAAATCAGGCAGAAATGGCTCTTTCAGTTAACAATTACTGAAGATGACTGTGTTTTACAGTACAGGATGCAGAAGACACAAACTTTATTTTTTTTTTAAGTTTTTGAAATTGTACTTAAAAATGAATGAATGAATACATAAATAATGCTTAAATATTTTGTCCAACTTTATATTAAATAATGCTAAAATATTTGGTCCAACTTTATATTAGGTGTCTTAAAAAAAAACCCAAAAAAACGATTTACTTAAAATATTGAATTGTTTTGTACACAGTGTACCTATTGTGTTCATGTTGAATTGCACAACACATTTTGCTGCTATTGAGGTGGGATAGGGTAAGGTTAAGGCTAAATTATACTTCGGTTATACAGGGTCCGTGTACAGTGCGAGTGATGCAGAATAGTACACGAGTACTGTACACACACTACCTGATTTTTGTAACCGTGCATACTTTGCTCACGCAGGTTGCACATGCACATTGACTTGGTTTTGCACTAATCAGTTGTTCCACGAGGTTGCAACACTGTACCGGGCCGTAGTTTCATAGTAGAAAATGAAACTAAAGTGACAGAACAACAACAACAACAAAATAGTGGAGGCTGCAACAACAACAGACGGCTGCACTGACAAGCACTTGTGTGAGAGGGTTATGAGATAGCAGCAAGTTTAGTTTAAAAGAGTGCAAAGACATTTTATCGGTCATAACTTCTGGAGGAAAATAGAGCAGACTCTGGACAAAGATGAAGCTTTCTATTGTGCAAGTGTCGCCCGCCTGCATTCGCGCATATCAAATGGAGTATACTTTGAAAGGCTGCACGTTCGACTGTGTGCATATGCTAGCGTATGCATACAAAACGTACATATTTGGGCTTTAGGAGCAGGTTTGGTGGTATGGTTAGGTTTAAGGGGGAGATGTAGGGTCAACTGTGTAATTATAGCTGTAACTACAACAAATTCATTACAGTTACACATATAAGTACAAAGTCAAAACTTTTATGTACACAATAAGTGCATTGTATCAAATGATTAATTTAAATTTAAATACATATAAAGTAGGTCCAAAATGTTGAATTAAGTTTACTTAAGCTCACCTAATTTGTATTTATATTTTAAGCATAAATCTTTGGTAATAAACAATTTCTTAAGGTTTATGGTTATAAAAAAAATGGTGATAAGAAAATGCATTTAATCAAATAAAAAAAAGTTGTATTATGTTCTACAATTTTCCTGTTTGACACTGTAAAGCAGCTTTGACACAATCAGTATTGTATAAAGCGCTATACAAATAAAGGTGACTTGACTTGACTTCTCAGGTAATCGTATCTTAAATATTTTTTACTGGAAAATAAGAGAAAATCCTCAAAATTATTATTTTTTTTCCAGTGCCTTCTTTCCATTCTCCCTCCTAGACTCTGAGTTAATTATCTAGTCAGCCCCACACAGCAGTCTGTTAAATCATCCTAAGTGCAGCCCATTTAGAAGCATATTCCACCTGGAAATGAGCAGGAATCTGATAAGCACTTGCCCTGACTGGTGAAGGCATTACTCATCTTGTGAGGAGCACGTATCCTTTCCTTTCTCATGCTTGGGTTTTCTCACTGCAGTAGGACAGTTGTTCATCAGTGATGTTTACTAAGGCAAACATTACAACAAATGTTGCTCATACTTTCATTTAGGGATTTGAACAAACTCCTAACCCTTAGAATTAAACTCTGGTGTATAACATCCAGCACCATTTGCTACAGATATGAGCGATACCTTAAATCATTCTGCTTGCTGAGGAGAGGTGTGCTATTAATAATCTAAACAATTGGATTATT